AAGTGATCAAACCCATACTTGAGTTGACACTGCCTTGATAACTCCAACATCACTACTTTGTTCCCCACAAGGACTGAAAAAATTTGATTGATCAAATATTAATCCTTGTCGGTGTCTACCCGACTGCACGGACGAAAGCGCCTTGGTAAAATGTAAGGGGTCGGTCACCAGCTGAAGATTATCTGACTCGCCATGAATGAGTGCTACCAGTTTTGCCTTCAATGGAGGCACCTCTAAACACCATAATAATTAATTTAGCGAAATAGAAGTGATAAACATCGAGCAAAATCTAGTGTGCCTGATAATGCAATGTCCAAATGTCAAAACGTATCGAATTCAAAATGAACTGCTGAAATGCGGTAATATCCAACTCGAGGACAATGACCACAAAAGGCATAATTAAATCAGATGAACATCCAACCCCTCATCATACGTTCGTATTGGCAACGACAAGTGCAAAATTAACTAAGCTACGGAAACCATAGAGAATCACCATGATAATGTCAGAAATTCGGTGAATAAGACTGGAGTATGCAAGCGATTTGTGATTGAAGTATTCTTTAAACTGCCACACTAAGCAAGCATGCTTTTAAACCGGTATCGTCATTCGCATTCATTGCATGCCCAAAGGTATGGTAAAACACCCAAATATTTACTATGAAAGCGAATTTACCAAACGACGATTATGAGGAAGTGATCTTTAAAAAGATCAATAAAAATGTAAAACTGCAAACTGATACACTGGTCAACTTCTCCACACTTAATGCGAAAGAATACAACTTACATCCATGAAGAGCAATAAATTGAATGGTCAACGCCTCGGTATGCAGTTCATACATTTTTAGTGCAGTTCCTATGTTAAAGGGCAGCTTAGTTTTGCCATCCACCGGGAGTGGAGGAACGCCGTACAGTAATATACCCACGGCGAATCTACTGCTTTGATTTAATAATACAGCTAACAAAAAAACAATAAAAGCACTATAGACAATTAAAACCCTGTATTGCATCAGCATGATGAGGAATAAAGATGAAGCAGCCGGTAGAAATTCCCGTTCTGTTGCATGAGTTAGAGTTACCATAAATGTGCGATAAGTCACAGCCGGGTGATGACGACGTGGCTCGAAGCACACGATTGATTTGGTATTTGTTGCGATCATGAGTGGCGGGTAGGCCCTCAAGGAGCTTGCGCAGCCGGTTAGAGATGTCCGGTGACTGGAAGGAGGAGGGCGACACCGACGACCGCCTACCAGCCTTCGGCTGGGGCGGTCCAGACGGAGTCTTTAAACCATACCACCGAGCCTGAGCACAAATAATGTCCCAGCTAACCGGTTCACCGTAGCGTCCTTCAAGAAGTCCCTCCACTTGATGATCTTAAATTAGCACAATGCAATTGCAATGATGACTAGCAGTGATCAATTAACTGACTAGTACAGAAGTAAAAAAAATCATTCTCAGTTACCGACACTGGACCAGGTACCTCAATCAAAACACAAGTCCGAATTAAACATTTATCACATATGTAAGCCTATACACTAAATGCGTAAATAGACAGGCAACACAACGAGGAGTAGTAATTGCATTTACCTAAATAGGTGAAATTAGAATGAGCTACATTGTTGTAAATAAGAGAAAATGATACTACCTGACAAAGAACCCTCTTCATCGACATCACGAAGACAGGTGTTAAACGCATCTTCAAGTTTACTAATTCGAGGAATAAATCGACACACTTCTTTTTCAATCACTTCAGTTACCTACGTGATCAAAACACAGTGATAGTAGGATAAGCATTTGATTCACAGACTCACAACTGATTCTCTACCTGTTCAGAAGAAAGAAGTGGTGAAGAGGAACGAGCCAAGGGACCTTCAATATCGGATGAGAAGGGAGCAAGGGGGGGAATTTGGGCAATGACGCGTTGCAAAAGATATGGTTTTGTAGAGGAGTCAAGACCGGTGAGAACAGCGGCTCGAGTAGCTCGGCATATGAGATGACGCAATTTCAATCCAACGCCCTGCCTGCCCGGCAGCAGACCATCTTGTAGGGCAAGACTAATGGATCGGCTGTGATCTGCTACAAGACGGTAAGCCACGTCACGGTGAAGAACCTCATAATCTATCGGTGGTGCGCTTGCCACAGTGGAATGATTCGTTTCAGCCTATATCACATAGAAAGATAATTAAAGAACATATTTCTCTCTAAGCGTAGTGTACAGCTATATTTAAACCTCAAAATTGGAGTGGTGGTTTGGGTTACTTGTAAGGGACTGAAGAAACAACGCAAGGGGAAGGTTTAAGTTCAAATACACCAGCGATTCCACAAAAGCGACTTAAACAGATCCTTACTTGCTTAAGACATTCGTAGACGTCATGAAAATATGTTAAAATATAAATCGTGTAAGTGGTCGGAAATGCGGAAAAAACGTGAGTCAAAATAAACGCCGAAAACAAATAAGAAATCAGACGTAAGTCGCCACAGAAACCGTGGTGAAAGTAAAGATGAGAATATACTTAGACACTTTATACCATCTGTTTATCAGGCGCCTCATAACCAAGATGAAAAGTTCGCAGCAAATTCGAGAAATTGCTGAGCTTGGTGTGCCTGGGACTAGAAGAGTCTGATTCAGCTTTTCCTTGACCAGATGATTCTGATTCTGATTCTGCAGGAAGAATGTAGTAACTGCTGTAAGATGGAATTGAATGACCCGTAATCCGCAATGCCTCCGAATGAATAAAGTCTAAGAGGGGCATGAACAAATCAGTGTCGTACGAGGTCATTGTACCCTAAAATAAAAAGACCACACTCAAAAGCAAGCCCGGTGGATACAGTGCCCTCATAATGAAAGAGCGAAAAGTGTACAAACAAAAGAATCATGAAAACTGAAAGGATACAAACCTGCATGACAGAGGTCAGTCGTTCAAGGCCCATACCGGTATCGACAGACAGATAGGAGAGGGGAAGAAGAACACTCCGAGAATCAGTCTCTTCCACTATCCGATGAGTAATGAAGACACAGTTCCAAAGCTCAACTATTCGTGCCCCCCCACCATTTACCATACAACGCGCGCAATTGAGATCCCTGAGACCGGAAAGTGCAGCGAAGTCTACATGAATCTCCGTTGAGGGACCACAAAGACCACCTCCACTAGCTTGATCCGCACGCCAGAAGTTGTACTCAGCTCCAAACGCCAACAACTTCTGATCGCTTACACTATTAAGATTGGTGAAAAATGTGGGCAAATTATAAAGTTCTTGTATTCATTATTATTGAGGGACATTGCTAATGAATTATGCTAGTGAGGTAGTCATGAAGCAAAGAAGTTACCCAAGACTAAGCCATATATCTCGCGACTCATCATCAGCAGGTAGACCGAGTACATCACTGCCTCCAAAGTAAGTGACGTAGAGGCATGACGGGGGTAAGCCGAGAACACCTGTCAAAAATTGCCACATCTGACGACAGGCGACCTCCTGAGGGTGGAAAACGAAATGCGTAAATTTATTTCCAAAGTTAATGGCAGTGTGAGCGAGAGACATACCTTCCCATAGGCACCAAATGACCAATTTCCAAGCATTTCAAACATTGTGTGATGAGAGGTGTCATATCCCACCTCATTTAGATCATCATGGCGACCGCCGATGCGAATACAGGGCTGTGAGTTGGCAGCCTTATTAAGGCGGAAGAATTCCAAGGCGTAGCTATCATCATCTTTCCGATCTCTTATAAATAAAGGCTTAAATTGATTCATGCCTATAAAGAGGAAATTAAAGGTAACATAACATGAGCAGTAAAGATTAAAGTATCTTCCGAAAAATTGGACAAATAACTAAGAAATTATCTGAATTCAACCAGTATTCAAAATTATAGAGAATTGACGTAAATGGCAGCAGAAGTACGTGACAGACACATTACTCACAAATTGAATTCCAGAATTAGTTCATCCATACTGTCTCTTCCAACAGTTTCAAACAAATGCATCAGCGAAAGACAAAATTAGTATTAGTTACAAGCCTAAATAATGTGAATTTATGCGATCTCCGAAACT